TTGCATGTACAGGTATACAATGTACCCCGTGATCCTTTTATTGACGACGACTGCATTGCCCCCTTGACAAAGGCTCGTATATTCATTACATAGTTGTATTTGCAATTATTACCTATACATATATATTATATTCACTAATTAAAGTATACAAAGCGAAAAAAATGCGAATAAAGAGGAATTATATTGTTAGCGAGAGGGGTGGAGATTTCGGAACCCGCTCGCGTGGAACGTGTGCCGCCGCCGAGATCGAGCCGAAAAGGAGAGAGAGAGAGAGAGAGAGAGAGAGGGAGAGAGAGAGAGAAATCGCGCGGATCGATTAGGGAGACGCGGTTCTTTACCCCCTGCAGCCCCGAAAGCGCCGTTAACCCTCCGACGCACCTTGTTCCGCCCCTGAGCGAAAAATTTGACGGGTCGTTATTGTGTACACGGGATATTTCGGATGAGAGAAAATCGCGTCTCGAAACCCGGGCTCGAGAAGTCGCGCGGCCCGTGTCGTCGAGGAGACGAGATTCCAGGTGGAAGCTCTCCGGTGTGAGCCTCTCATAATGTGCGCACACTCGTCAGACTATATCGATCGTCGAAAGTAACTTTCAGCAACCTTTCAAATTAGACTAGACGCCCCGCGCCAGCGGGCGGACGGCGAGANGGGGAACGGGGGGGGGGAGGGTGGAGTGAGGGAAGGGTGCACGAAAAGCCGATGTGCGCCGGAGGGTTAATAACAACAACAATAACAATAATAATAATAATAATAATCCCGTCAACCGCGTCTCCCTCAGCCCTTCGTCTCGCGCCTTCCCGCCGGTGTTTCGTCGGCCTTCCGATCGTGTCTTCGATTTTCTACCGGGACGTGCAATCGCCGCGCCCTCGCGAGACTTAGCGATCCGCGGGGCGCGACTCGTTCTAAACGACTGTTAGGATACTCTCCCGTCTTCTCTTAGTCGATCGTACCGGGCGGCCTTGGAGAACAATAGAGATCGATCCGCGCGGACTCGTTGTGTGTATGTGTGTGTATGTGTGTGTGTATGTGTGTGTCGGTACCCCGGCAAGATGACGATGACGACGACTGTCATTGTCGTCGTCGTCGGTGTGCGATGGGATCCATTGTCGTCGCGCAGATCGGCGTAATTAAGCGAGATCGAGTGTGATCAATGTGAAGAAGACTGATCGGTCGTGATCGACGATCGAGAGGTAGCGGACGTTCCCCCGGGTGGATCGTCGCAGTTCGCGCGCGTGAGCGAGACGATAGGTCTGTCCTTTGTCGCTGAGCCGGTGTACGCTGCCGGGACTTAAGAAGAAACGGATACGCAACTGTGACTTTTCGTGCAAGAAAGAGGGAAACAGAAGTAGCGCGCGAGCGAGTGCAGCCGCCGGTTCACCTGTAAAGAACAGACCGAATGACCTCCGTCGCGCAAGCCGGTCTTCGTATCCGCGGCTTCGTCCCTCGGCGAGTCGTTCGGCCGAAGGAGCTTTCCTCAGTCACGTTCCACGCGAGCTTCTCTGTCCGAATAGGCCGTGCTTCTGTTCTATTCGGAAAGGGTAAGCTGGTGAGAGAGGCGAGTCGACGATCGACGATACTTCGCGCCGGGATCGATGACGATTACGATGAGGACGACGGCGAGTGCGAGGGAGAGAGATAGAGAGAGAAAGATATGACGTTTGCGTTGCGTGCGTCTTGACGAGCGTCGATCTGGTGGTTCGCAGCGGCAACCGAGAAACCGAGATTATGAGCGAATTTGCGTTTGCGAGAAATGTGTTCTGTACATACATTGGGACCGAGAGAGAGAGAGAGAGAGAGAGAGAGAGAGAAAGAGGGAGGGAGAGATCGTACACGCGGAGAATCGGCGCGGTTTTTATCGAGCATGCCGAATTTCTCATCGTGTGCGCGCTCTCCGCTGGAAGATAGGAAAAAGGAAAGAAGACGCAGAAGAAGAAGAAGGCGGCTCGTCTCCGTTTGATGCGCTAATTTAATTTGTACATAATTTCCCAGCGAGCTGAACCCTCGTCGTTGTTAATCTTCCAGTTTTGCGTTGACTCGAGACCAGGCCTCCTGTCCGTTATTGTCGTGTAATCGCGTTCCGTTGTCGGTGAGAAGAAACTTCGCCTCGAAGAAACGTCGTGGATCGAGGACGGGCGGGAAGGAGGGAGGGAGAAGGAAAAAGAGAGAGATGGAGAGACGCGTTCGTGGTCAATGTGGTCGCGCGGAGAGATTCGCCACGGTTTGCAGTGCGCCGTTTCTTCGGGCTTCGGGAACGAGAACGATCGCTCGCTCGCGCTACGCGTTCTCGAGTTTTGCGAACGCGTGCCGAACTGATCGCAACCGCTCGTCATTGTCAATTAACACTTTCGCCTCGGGGGCTGAGTCCGCTATTTCAAGACAAGAAAGCCTCGTTCCCCAAGGCGAACGTGTCGATCGACCGGTCAAGTTCGCGGCGAATCGATCGCCGGTCGGGACGAGCTCTCGTGGACGAGTCGAAAATGCCAGGGCACATCCGTGACTTCCGTCCCGCGCGCGCGCAACATAAGCCGCATCGAGCTTCTCGCGAGCGAAGCGGCCGCGAGGACCTCGTCGTCCTTGTCCTCCGAAATCGTGTGTATGTGTGTGCGTGCGTGCATGCGTGCGTGTATGTGTGTGTGTAAGCGTCCCGGTATTCTCTGTCCATTTTTTCGCAGGAGTCGCGCGTCGGTCCAGCCAAGCGATATGAGGCGTTCGAAGAACCACCGGTGAAGGAGAGGGAAATCCCCTCGAGAGAAAGAGAAAAGCGCCTCTCCCACCCCGCGTAGAGAGAGGGGGTTCATCCAGAACCCTCTCGAGAAACTTTCGCTCGCAACAACGTTATAATTCGACGATCTCGAAGTTGCCGTGAAACGAGAATCGACCCTCAGCTCATTGTAGAATTTCTCCGTGGGGGAGAGCGCGGGGGGGGGGG